ATATCCCTAATCTTCGTTCTACGTCTTATCTCGGTGTTTCTAATCTTGTCTCTTAGTGATATTCCAAGCATGATTCGTTCCATTGCTCTTTGCGTTGTTTCTAATTTTTTAGCAGATTTTTTGGTAAGGGCTACTGTCTCCAAGCCGTAGGTACAAACTGGTAGTATGCATGTGTTATACACCTTTTTCTTTAAGTTTATAGGAATGGAGGTGTTTTTCAAGATATGTGCTAGTTTGCCGAAAGCGCCCATGCCAGTTGTGTTCTTCTTTTAAGTTCAGCATCTTGATTTGGTTTTCCTAGATATGACATGACCTAGATATACATAATGTTCAACATTTTCTATGGTATGATTTTATGTTGTTATATTTGTCTGGTCTCGGCTCAGTATTTTTGTTTTGCTGTAGTTCATTTTTAAGCCTACCGCTATTGAAACTGCATTTAATTGTTGTAACAATCATTTAGTTCTTGGATATTATCGGCTATTAAAACTATGTCATCTGCGAATCTCAAGTGGTTTAAGTATGATCCGTCGACGTTGATACCCTTATTGTTCCATTCCAGTTTCTTAAAAATATCTTCTAGAGCAAGGGTAAATAGTTTGGGAGAGATGGTGTCTCCTTGTCTTACTCCCCGTTGTAGTCTTATGGGATTAATTTTTGTGCTTTCGTCCAGCTTTATATGCATGGTGGCATTTTCATATATGTTTTTAATTATGTTAGTGTATCTTGAATCTATGCGTGCATTTTCTAGAGATTCAAGCACTGAATCGACAATGAAAACAAGAAATCGACGAACGCCATATGAATTGGAACATTATATTCGGTGCATTTTTCTATCAGTGTTCTTACGGTGTGCAAGTGGTCTATGGTATTAAAGTGTTTTCTGAATCCAGCCTGCTCGATAAGTTGATAGAAATCGAGCTTATGTGTTAGGCGGTTGGTTATGATTTTAGTTAGTAATTTATATATATATATATATATATATATATATATATATATATATATATATATATATATATATATATATTGGTCGGTATAGAATATTGGTCGGGAATTCTTGATGTTTGCTTATCTCCTTTCTTGAATAGTAAAATGACCTCGGAGTTATACCATTCTTGAGGAATCTTTCGTTTATCAATTACTTTATTAAATAAAACATTTAATACCGGTTCCATTTTTCTGCCACCAATTTTCAACATTTCAACTGTAATCTTATTCTCTCCCGGACATTTATTCGTTTTAAGTTGATTCAGGGCCATTCTTATTTCATAGTCGGTTATGTCCGGTATTTCTTCTGAGCCGGTGTTAATTATTGTTCGTTGAGTACGTCGTTGTTGTGGTTGTGTATTTACCGAGTATAATGTAGTGTAGAATTTTTCAATGCCCTCGCTTATTTCCGTTCTGTCTCTGACGGTGAAGTTTTTCTCATTTTTTATTTCTATGATTTTTGTTGTGCCGCTTGAGTTTTTAGCTTTGAGTACTTTCATGTTGCAGTTATCTTGTATTATACTTTTTATTAGATTGTTATTATAGTTTCTATGATCGTTCCTGATTTCTTTCTTTACGTTTTTGTTTAAACTTTTAAAGCTGTCCGAAGTTCGATCTGTTCTATTTCGTCTTTCTTGGAGTAGTTTAATTGTATTAGGTTGGAGTTTAGATGTTTTGGCTGTTTTCGTGTTTGAGCATATTTTCTTAACCGATGTTGTTACAGTTACTTTTATTTTATATAATTGATGGATTCGACCGTTACTTGATGGAAATTCATTTTATGTAAAAATAAAACACTGAAAACTTTGTTTTCAAACTTCCACAAAATTTATTTTAAATCTTATCACTACAGCTGTTTCGGCTGATTGCCTTTCTCAAGTGATCTATTTTTGGCTTGGGTTTACAAATTTATAGTCTCTAATGAAATAGGTTGAGGAGGGGAGAACTGTTTGTCTCAAGTTGGTCATTCAGAATTATATCTGTGTTTTTTAATTTGTTGATTTCCATAGATTCTAACAAAGATAGCTTAAGGCCTTTATTTTGAATGTGAAGAATTTTAAATTTTCATTAAAAGAATGATTATGATCTAGAAGGTGAAGTGCGTATGTCGAATCTGTTTTTCTATTCTTGAAAGCCCTTTTATGTTCTGCTATTCGTTTATCAAAGTTTCTACCAGTTTGACCGATGTAAGTTTTTGGGCAGTCGCCACATTGAAGTTTGTACACACCACTATTTAAGTGTTTTTTATTTTGGCTCTTGTTATTTTTAATATATTTGCCTAGGTTGTTATTTGTTCGGAAAGCTGGTGTTATTCCTTTCTTTTTTATGTGTTTGGCAATTTTTGTTGTTATTTTGCCTGTATATGTAATCGAGCAGAAGGTACTGGGTTTTTTCTCTGGTGGTGAAAATACTAATTTCAGGGCTTTCTTGTGTAGTTTTTGATTTAACATTTTATTAATTGTTTGTTCGTTGTATCCGTTGTTTACTGCTATTTGCTTAATTATATTTAATTCTGTCTCAAAGTTGTATTTTGACATCGGAATTTCTGTTAATCTATGTAACATACTATGATAAGCTGCCAGTTTATGTTGTGTTGGATGGGATGATGAATTGTGTATAGTCGTGTCAGTATGGGTAGGTTTTTGAAATATGGAGAAGTCATGTTTGTTTTGAAGTCTGCTAATTTTTAATCTAAGAAATTTATGGATTGATTTTGTTCTGTTTCTATTGTAAATTCAATATGACTATAAAGTGAATTAATGTACGATAAAAATTGGTCGAGTTGCCTGTTAGTTCCTGTGAAACATACCAGTACGTATCTCCACCAATATAAATGACTGATAGTCTTTGTTTAGTACTTTCACGTCGGTGCATATGTTTTTGTTATCGGAGAGTATGTAGTCTATTTCGTTCTTAGTTTTCTTGTCTGGGCTGATCCATGTCCATTTACGTTGTTTAGATTTTTTAAAGAAAGTGTTGAGACAAGCTGAAACATAAATTCTACATAATCAAGTTGTATGTGGCACTGCACGGGTGAGATAATAATTCAAAAACCGACTGAATTAGGGTTATGATTATTGTTATATTATTATTTTATGTGTTTAAATATTTTTTATTGGTCGTCTGTTTTTTATATAGTGGCCAATATGTGCAATCACAAATTAATCCCTTAATTTGTAATCTCACATTATTCTTAACTTCTTAATCTTTTATAGTTTCACCGTGTATAAGTGAGACATTGTAAAACCATATCGTATAATATTTTAATAATTAGTTAATTTACCTACAACTAAATAAATTGCCGAATAATATATTTTCTAATTGAACTTCCTAAGTGTCGCAATTACGGCCTAGATTAAATTGTAATGTAAGCTAATAGTTCAAAGTTTGTTGGTATGGTATGATAGAAGCAATAACCTCTGTGCTGAGGTATGAATTATTTGTGAGATTATAAATTGGGGATTTGAGCTCATGTGAACACAGTTTATTATAAGTAGTTACCTAACGAACATCATATTGTATAATTACTAGTAGCTGTCAATAAAACCAGCACTTTTACTCCACAACTTCAACTTTTTATTATATTCGATCGACAAGAAGCGGACACAGGGACATTATAAAACGATTTGAACCTCATAACTACGTTCGAATCTTTCCACCCTACTTCTACCGCCAAGTTGCGTTTAGATCCTCGAGTGTTTAGTGAAAAACATACTCAATTTCCAGAAATATAAATGTTTGAGAAGGTATTTTGGGAAACCACATAGTTGAAGCTGTTTTTCTCAATGCTAACTAACGGGTGAAGTGTATCTGGAGATGTTACAAAACGCAGTTGAGCCGTTAATTCTTGAAATTATGGAAGATAATCCATATGCATTCGGCAACTTAGAAATAACGTTTCAACAAACTATTATGGTTTGCAGGAGTAATTCTGCAAACTATTATGGTGCATTAAGATGTTACTTAGATGAGGAATATCGTGGTAGATGAATTGGATGATGAGGTTAAATAGAATGGCTAGCTCCGTCAGCGGACCTCACAACATTTTTTTTTCTGTGGGGTTACTTGAAATTCAAGATTAACGCTGCACTACCCGACAGTATTCGTAGTATTCCCCCGACACATTTGAACGAGTACGACAAGAGTTTAGCAATAGGTTACATTATTGCCAGAAAGTAGATGGAGCATATTTTGAACACTTAATTTAATAACTGGTTCTTAAATATTTATTAATTAAATTTGAAACTACAATTTTAGTATTTTAATTTATTCATTAAAATCAGCTTAAACCCAAACAAAATTAGCATGGTTAAATATGTATTTTCAATACCTTTCAAACGAGATATCATTTGTCATAAGGGCCCATTTAAAATTATCGGTCAAAGTCGCACTGTAATGTTATCTATTACTATTACGTCACCTGTTCTGACTAATTAAGAAGCCTACGCACGTTTATTTCCTCTCTCCAAATTTCACTATTATAAATATAACCGTTCAAAAGATACGAGAGGGGAGGCTTTTGGCTAGCAGTGGTTAGTTTAGTTTATCTCGATGTCGAGTTGATGTCTTGTTTTAATGCTTTGAACATGTTTCTATAGTTAGTGTTGTTTATTTTATATATATATATATATATATATATATATATATATATATATATATATATATATATATATATAAATTTATTTGTGTTTCATGTTCTATAGAACTTTCTAAATACCAATATGTCCAATTTTCAGTTTAAGCTTTAATAATGTATATTAAGTCTAGTTTAATGTGCAATATTGACACCATTTGAAAATGGTGATTAAGTCATTTAGCCATTTAATCTTTATATATATATATATATATATATATATATATATATATATATATATATATATATATATATATATATATATATAATTTGAATTGTCCATTCTGTGCGAATGAAACTATCCATTTGTTCTGACGCAATTATTAAATCTTATTAAATATCTTTAAACTAACTTTGCATTTTTTCCTACATCAACTAGGTTTAGACTTAAGTATCATCCAGAAGAATCTGTAAAAAGGAAAGAAGAGCAAAAGGCAGCTTTGAAGGTAAGTCTTCGAGTTTAACTCATTAACGTCCAAGCAATGAAAAATAATAATTTTTCCGAATTTTTTTATTCAAACTAGTTAAAAATGGCTCAACTAAGATATGTTTATGATTTTTTAACAAAACAACAAAAAATTGAGGGTGCGTGTACATATCATACAGCGTATTCGGTAGTGCCATTTTTGATGCATCAGGGATATCAGTCGTCTTACTTTTTTTAAACAACAAGCCGATCTCTCCGCTATATATCAGAAACTATTCATGTTATAACTTTAGGAGAAAAAAATCCTTAGTAAAAGTGACCAAGAGAAATCGTTGGAAATAACTTTCAATTTTCTGGGTTAACCGATAGGGGGCGTAAACTGAAGAAAACTTTGAAAACCAATTTTTTTGGGAAATATGCCCAATTATATCAAGTATTAAATAAGTAAACTAGAAAGAGGCCTAAATTCTGCACAAAGTTGTTTAAGTACTTTTTTTATTTTTTCAAATAAAGGGTGGGGGAGAGTGGGAAAGTATTTGTGGATAAATACCTATAACTTTGGTTTGAATTAACCGATTTTAACGAAATTAGTGTCATTAGAAAGAGTGTGGATAAATTAATTTAGATTTACTACAAAATAATTGCATTTAGATTTAATTGTCATAGGTAGAGGACTTTTGAATAGAGAAAATTAAAATTTGTTTTTCTTCAAAATGTTTAGTGGAAACATCTATTGTAAATTATAATAGAACTGGATTAAATTTGTAACAAAATGGCGTAATCCGCATGTTAATAGCTTTTGTCGAACTCGAGATATGAATAAAAACGCATAAACATAAGTAAGTATAGTATTGACTCACCCTGTATTATTAATTTGTAGCGTTTTATATTTAATATCTATATAATAGTATAAATTCTGTTTTAAGTTTTGTATTCAGTTGTTTCAAAATAAAGATGTTTTTATCTCTGTTACATTGTCAGGTAGAAAATTATTCCGGTTAAAAACTAGGAAGCGAGGTCGTTTAGAATTATCAATAAATACGTGTTATTTTTGCCCAATTTAAAAGTAAATATTTCAACATGTTTTTGTAGTTGAAAACGATTTGTTTACATGAGCCCACAAATATTCCGGTTGAAAAAAGATGTTTTGTGATCGGTTCGGTATTACGAGCGAGCGAGGGGTATTATTGTTTGTTTAGGTTCCGGTGACGTGAAGGGAAATTTGAATTGCGTTTAGTTTGAGTCTAAGGAAAGGTTAAGAGTGAAGCAAGATAATTCAAACTAGAAGGATGTTTGGGCGATTTTGAATCCACAGCGATCATACCCTTTGCAATTAATAGCAGTTTTGAACAGAGTAATCACCATAAGATTTGGATAGATACCGGAAACTGATGAAATTAGTGTATAGGGTGTCCCCGTCGTGTGCTTTGCTCCTCCACCAAACCTGATTTGATCGTCGTTCTTGAGTATGGAAATGGTTTCTTTGTTCCAGTTTGAGAATTTGTCCAAGTAGCTTCTCCAGATATTTAGCAAGTTTTTTTTTAAGTTAAGTGTAAAGTTTGGAATTAAGGTAACAATTCAATATATTAATTTTTCCAAGTAATATACATTTTTTAATAATTGCTTTCATTAAGAATTAAAGAATTTGTAATAATTAAAGTTTTATATTATGTTAGAGGCGTGGCTAAAAAAATGTCATAATTTATTCTGTCTTAAAATGTTGTGTTGACATATGACATTTTGGCTCTAATCTGTTGTTGTAAAACAATTTTAATTTGATTATTATATAGAAAAGATATTTCATATATAAGGTTAAATTTTAGATATTTTCATTAACAAGGATATCCTTAATTATAATATTCTATTTTGGCCATATTAATAAATAACCTAGGAACCATTTCGAAAATTTTTGTAGCAATCTCCTTTGTAAACAGATAAACACGTAAGTTTTTGTTAATTTTGTATTATGTTATATAGTATGCTTCTTGTGCAATCTGTATTTTTGATAACTGTTTGTTTGAGACAAAAATAAACGTTTGATTTGTTTCTCTGATCCATTTTTTTGTTTTAATTTAGAAAAGTCTCCTAACCCTTGTATGTATTCTTGATTTTAGGGAAGAAGAAATTTTCTTTCTTCCAGCAGGAAGTTTTCTTCGAAGCGGCGTCCGAATAGAAATAGCTAGAGGTAATCTTGTCTGCCATATCTTGTTCATAATTGTTCCAGGAGATTTATGTAAGTATCCCTTTGTTTTCATTTTGTAGATACCCCAATCCGACCCATTTATTTCAACTTATCCACGACCCAGCTCTCCAACAACCCCCTGAGTGTCGTACGCACCAGTTTCGATTATTTTGTTTGCCCAATCTTCTACCCCCATGTTCTTACCATGAGGTAAGCAAAATATATCGTTACAATTTTGGCGCCCAACGTGGGCATGAATTAGATTTGCGCTAATTGTATCTGTCGTTACAATTTTGTCGCCCAATCAGTGGGTCCTTTGAATATTTCTAAATTTTTTAGATTCTGATTCCTTTTTCCCAAGCCACTTATATGAAACTTTTTCCGTTTGGAATAATGCCCAAAGTGTCTCACAAACAGTAGTGTATTTGTATGTATATATATATATATATATATATATATATATATATATATATATATATATATATATATATATATATATTGTTATGATATGTAAAGTCGAGAAAAATATTGATTTGTTTAAAATATTTCAAAGTTCAAAAACATTAAAATAATTTAGATAAGTAGGATAATAACCAACAAACATTTCGAAGAAGGAAAGTCTTTAAATTTTTGGATTACCTGTATTAAACAAAATGTAAGCTATGCATAAATTATTTTCTTTGTTATAATATACTTGAGTGACCCGCATAATTTTAAGTGAAATCCAAAGACAATTGAACCGGGTTTTCCAAATACATTAATGCAGTGATTAAGGACAATAGAATAGATTTTAGAAAGAGGTTTTTGTTAGTTTTTAAGAATTGTAGAAAAATATTATTTGTAAATAAGTTTTAGGAAATTTTATAATTATAGGTAAAAATTTGTTTGTTATCGAAATGAAAAAATGGGAGAATTGTGACGAGCTTTGATTGGCGGAGATTAAAAAAGGTGGGATAGGTATGTAGGAATGAAAGTTTAGCTAGATTTTTGAGAGAGAAAAGATAATCAGTTGGTTTCCAAGGGTGCAAGGCGAACGGCCGTTGTTTCTCGGGTAGTTTCCCAGAGGTAGGAAGCAGTAGCAGTGAAAGTTTGTGAGTTTTCGTGTAGTTAGTGTATCTGACAGAAGCTGATCCAGTAAAAGATTGTAAGTCATATTTTTCTACTTATATTCCAAGAGTCACTGTTCAGGCCAACGAGAGATTCAGTTTATCGTAAAGAAAAGATATTCCAAGAGTCATTTTTCACTCAGGCCAACGAGAGATTCAGTTTATTGAGAGAAGAAGAAGCTAGCATAATTTGAACGATTCGTGCATTTGAAGGAGATCATTAAGGACGATAAACTTGCAATAATTTGTTGTAAGATTGCTGATTACCTAGGGAGCGGCTGAGAGTAGATAATATAGTCTACAAGGAACAAGGATTTGGACCACTCATCATCAGAGAGAGATAGTTTTGTTTCTGCAGTTTTTCTTTTATTGATAACACAATTTTTACACTTAATTTAGAAAGGATATAAATATTTTGATTAGGAGATTTAGAATAATATTTGGGATTTTGAGATTTCAACTAATATTGTTTGTACCATTAATTTTGAAGGTTCACGTACGTAGAACAAAATTTTGAGAATCATTATATGAGATATTGTTTATTGAAAACATTTGAGTGTGAATTTTATTTCATTATTTTTATTTCAATATATAATGTTAGATCATATATGTTTTTTATTATTCCGGTATTCTTTGGACCTTACCTTTCACATGTAATAGCATAGATATTGAAGCACGAATTTAACCCTGAGATAAGAGAATTAAAAAGTGTGATAGAGTCATAATCATATCATTTAAATAATTTTAATTAATCAATTAATTAATTAGCTAATTAATTGCTTGGCGCACCAAGACTTTAAATATCTCAATAATATATATATATATATATATATATATATATATATATATATATATATATATATATATATATTATTGAGATATTATTATGTATTGCTGTTTGTTCCATGTAATCTACCTGTAGTAACATATATTATTGTATACCAACATTTGTATTTGTTATATATTGACATATGTATTGTTTTTTATGTGTATTGGTAAATGAAAGTAAATATTTGAGATTGAATATTTAAATATGAATTTGAATAAATATTGATATTGAAAAGAATTTAAAAAAGGAAGATGTAATAAAGCTTGTGGAAGAGTGTAAAGATGATTTAGTTAGTGTTTAAGGGTAATGTGTTAGAAAAAGAGGAAATATTTGATGAATTAGTCAGAGAGGAACAATAGAACCATTGGTATAGCAATACGTACGTATGTTAAAGACCACGTAGATTGGGACAAGAATTTAGCAAAAATCAGACAAGCTATTAACACCGCAAAGCCTGAAGTAACTGGATATACTCCAGCTCTCCTGAATTATGGCCGTCATGTTCCTTTAAGTGGAAACTATTATGGTTTTTATCACAAGGATCAACAGAATCAAGATATCGAGATAATTCCAGGTGACCGTAACATGTATGCTTCAGAAGTCAAAGGTTTAGATTAAGTTTTTGAAAAGGTTAAGGCTAATCTTCGAAAAGGATATGAACGTAACGCTAGAAGTTACAACTTACGTAGAAGAGAATGTTAGAGAATTTGAATACAAATTAAATTAAAAAATAAGTCGGTAAGTACTTTCAAATTTTTTATAGCAGAAGAATCTTAATGTTGATACCTATATTGACCATTGTTATCTCCTATGATTAAAAATAGTTTTTTCGAAACTAAGTAGGCTACGACAATGAGTTTGACTGAGAGTTCATATTGTTTATTTATTGACAGCAGTCAAAA